CTTGCTAGTTGCTACTTACTGATATTAAATTAGATGAATAGCACTTAAAGAAAATAGTTCTCTACTTATAGCAAGGAATCATTAAAGTAACAGCAAGATGATCTGAGAAAAACCTGTCAACGTGTGCAAACTGTCTGCAAGCGAATCTCTAAAAAGTGCTATTTAAAGTCCTCAGTAACAGAGTAGCAATTTAAACAACTAGTTGGCATGGAGAAATTATGTGGAATCTATGCAAATCTCAAAATCCTACAGAAGTCTCTCAAATATATGACCAAAAAGAAGGATTTTTCAATCTCTGTGAGGGTCAAAAAATACAGATAATTTTGGGGGGTCATGTATAATAATGAATTCTAATATTGAAGTTGTAGAATTAATTATTTGGAGACTATAATCCAATGGTATTCTCTTTTATTAATTCTAGCATCTTTCCTTTTTCTGTATCTTGTGTAACTTACCTGCTCCCTGAAATGTAAATCCCTAAGAAGGTGAATGCTTTGTTCGCATCTTGGACCACTGCAATTAAAATTATTGATGTTATACAACTATCCTACTGTAACAATAGCTCCATATTAAAGTAAATGAGGTGACCTCATTAGTATAAAAACTTCTGTTCCTCAGTTTCATATTAGCACCTGCAAGAGGATTTCTGAGTGGCGTACTTTCTTGTATAGGGTAACTTCAGAGTGATCATTGTTTGATTTTATTCGGGGTTCAGTAAGGAAAACCAAAACCATAGCTACAATGAGTAAGGCTGATGTTAACACAGATATAGGCATGCTGATCTATACTAAGTATGTGCAAGCTGAAAACCAACGTAAGAGTAATTGTAAAAGAGATGCAAACCAAAAAGAATTTGCATGTTCTCCTGCATTACCCTACTTCTCAACTAGCAAGGAAAAGCAGGTCAAACTTTATCTAAACTGATGCAATTTTACAAATCCTTCTGCCAGCTCAAATCTCTTCAAGCTCCCTTAACGCTAGACAGAGCTGGTTTTAAATTTTCTGTTTCCTTACCAGACTGGGAGCCCTGATGGCCTTAAAGGTATAATATCATCTTCTGGTTGACAGAGTCTGATCTGATCCCAGATATCCCATGACTCTCACTTTTCTGCTATTAAGTTCACATAGTTTCTACTGCTACTCTACTTACTTTCCCTTTAAATCCAGCCAGGTGTCTGTCAATGTCAAATTTTAATACATCTCTGTATTTCTCATATTTGGTACATATTATAAAACTGGCTTTCCATAAAGCTGCCAAAAGTTCTGGTTTTGGGAGATCTGAATAACACAAGAAGTAATAGCAATGTATGTGTGTTATTCAAGCATAATTTACTTTTTTTGGTTGCTGCTTGCTGTCACATGAAAAAGAATAAAATCTAAAGCACATAGAGTAACACTGCTGCAATTAGATATTGTTAAAATATTAATAAAAGGTACTTAAAAATGGCTTGTATAGACACAGTAAAAAAAATATTTGGTATGTAATTCAAATTTCTAGAGATCTTAAGAAATCTGGGAATCTTAAAGTAAGACTTACCAAGAATATGTTAGTATTGTCTTTTCAACCATACTTGAAAAGCATCAGTTTAGAATAGCACGTCTTAAAAGAGTATTATCTGCATTTCAAGAACAATATACCTTGATACATGTCCCACAGATGACCAAGTTATTTATATGAGGGACCTAACAATGCAGGTTTGAGCAAATTTTGTGTTGTAAGTGTAAAAATGCTAACTGATGCAGGACTCTAACCTGCCTTGAAAGGACTACTACTTAGCAATCATTTCTAAAGGTTTATTTTTTTATCCTTCTCCCCATACAGCTACCCCCCCCACCCCACCCCTCATCTCCTGTCTTTCAAAACTGAGTCATGGCATAGCTGCAAAGATGTTGGAGCTCTTCTAATTGAAGAAATTGATTTGGCTAAACACATTCAACTTGTTGATGGTCGAGACATAGGTCTGGGTTTGTGTGTGTGTGAGTGAGATGACTGGAGCATAGCAGCAGCTTCAAGCAAAGACCAGATTGGCAAACCATCTGAGGGGCAAGGGAGAGTTTTGTCCCATATGTGGGGAAAATTTAGAAACTATATCTTCTCTTCCCTTGCCAGTGTGCCCCTTGTTATGTCAAGATAACAAAGGGGGACACTAGAGACATCCTCAAGATGGGAAAACCCACAGATATCTTTGCAGGGATTGTGTCTTTCCACTAAATAATAGCTATCCTTGGATCTTTGTTTGATAATTAAATTTGCAGGCATCTTTCATTTATCTCATGTTTTGAGCTCTCCATCACCCTTTCACCTAGCATCACAGCCAGTCACCTGGGAAAAGGTAAAATATAAAATTGGCTAATATTGAAAGACTGGGCTTGTTGCTGATGTGACCTTATCAGCCAGTATTGACTGATCACTTAGAAAGCAAAATTACTGGCAGCTTCTGCACACTTAACATATTTCTATGTGGCAGACATTGCAGTGCTGCAAAACCCAGGCTATATTTAAAAAGGGTGGTTCAGAAAACTTACAGCAGCCTTTTATCCAAGCAAATTAGTCCTTCGAGTACCTATGTGACAAGGACTGACAGTTTTGCTCTTGACCTCCCACAAAGACATTGCTGCAGCATAATGAAATGGACATACATCTTTCTAAGTATCTTGTATAGAAGTTTGGATTTACCTGTTGACATAGTGCTCAGACTATCAGTAGTCAGAATATTCAGTGCTGTAACACAGTAACACATTATGGTTTGTTGCTATAAAAAGATAACATATTATATAATCGTATAATAAGCCATTTTGGAGAAATAGTGTTACATTTTTCCTCTTAAAAACTTCTTAAAGTTTTCTGGTTTGATTTTTTTTTTTTTTAACTTTTCGATTTTAGCTTCTTTAGCATGTGGCAAAGTTATTACTCTGCAGTAAAGGAAAAAACCCTAGATTGCTTTAAGTCGGTAGGTAATGCACATTGTGTTGGTAGATGTCCAGCTTTGTGTTTTCAGCAAAAGATAAGTATCATTACCCTTCAGCCTATCTTTTGAAGCCGGCAATAACAAATCAGGTCCGATCCTCAGTGTTTAAGTATTTTCTGCCTTCAAAGTGGAGGGCAGAAAAAGGTGCAGGGGGTCAGACTGGTAGTAATTGCAGTTATGAATTCTGAAGCATCATTCCAAGTGATTACACAGGTATATAAAGCAGCGTGAATTGGTTGTAGCCAGGCTAAATCTGTACCTCATTTGACAAAAGTAACATATTATATAATACTCTGTTGTGGGTGATGGTAGTACTTTATGATTTATTGTGGGGTGGGGTGCCCTGGGGAGAAGGCAGGAGTTTTTCTGCCCCCTTAGAAGTTGATGGCTGTCAAAGAACATGTTCTCCATCGGCAATACAGAAAGCTCTGGAGAATGCACATCCCGACATGAAATATCAAAAGCCTGCATGCTGTTCTCTGAACCTGACTTCAGAAGACAGCTGGGAAAGCACTTTTTGCATGTTAGATTTACGCAGTCAAAAAGTATTTGCCACTATTGCAGCACAGTACAGGAAAAGGACCTTATTAATTCAGGCATCTAAGAGGCATTTAAAGAGAGGTAGTCTCTAATATGTATGTGATATAATGACCACTTTCACTGTTCCTGAAGTGTTACCCTTGAGCAACAGAAATTAAAATTCATAAATGCGGAAGAAAGTGTGTCACAATGGATATCCAATATTTGAAGTGTGGTAGGATAGCAAGACCAGTTTGGAAAAAGACTCCTATTTCATGATTTTTCTGCCTTCATAATTCACTTACATCTTTAATGAGGGCTTGTGAATGAATTCAGAAATAGGTTTTGAGACAGACAGACTGTCATTCTCCCTCCACTTCAGTCTCAGAAACTGCAGACTATCTGAGCTGGACTGCTTTTTACCTCAAGAGGAAGAAATTGATAAGGTTCAGAACAAGCAGAAGTATAAGGAGTGTCTGAAAGGGGAAACACCTGAATCCTCTAAGGACCACTTACTGCCAACATGAATCTAAGAAAGTTTCTTATGTTTAGAGCAGGCTGGTAATATATTATAGTTCCATAATGCTCAAATAAATAGGAAAGGCATTGATTGCACAATTTTTGTTTCTCTATTAGCTTAAAACAGAAGATCACACAAAGAGTGTGTTTTTTCTGAATCACTTCTTTCTAGACATCATATATTTCAATTTCAGAAAGCACCAGAGGGGGACAGATATGTACCCTATAGCTAAGATGGCAAGTTTTAATCATCCCTGTAGCTATATAATGGTTTGCTGGTAATGTCTGTAGTCACGATTATGAAGCAACAGCTGTTGCAGTTGCTTCTTGTATTAGCAGCAGTAGAAAGTTTGTGACAGGTGGGATGGGTGGCTGAACCCTTGGCTCCAGCATAATAGGTAAGATAAATTTCTCTAGTTGTCTGTTGTGTTATGCTGCTTGGATCTTGCTCTCTCCGTCTTGAATCTAAGATGGGTCCTTTGTGCCTCGCAAGCAAGTAAATCTGAGTGTGAAGCACCGGCTATGCACCCTGTAGCAGAGCAGCTGCCATGGTCCTCATGGTGTCAAGGTTCCATGGCACATCCCTCAGAGCTCTCCTCCTGCAGTGCAGAGGATCAGCCCACACCAGTGAGGTGTAGTCAGGGAGTGTTACACCCCTCAGTCCCTTGATCAACTTGTTTCTGGCAGTGACTGGGAATCTGGGTCAGAGCCAAGGGTCAAGCTGTCCTGGAATTTGTGTAGCCACAGAAAAAGTCCTCACCCCAAGGGCATAGCCGTGTAAGAAGTACTGTGCCATGTATAGATCTGGAGGAAGATACCAGCTGAACTTTCATTTTGCTTTTTGCTGTTAAGAGTTGAATAATCCTATTGTTAACATCACTGGCTGTTAGTACAGAATTGAATACGAGATTGGTAAAATCTTTACATGTTTATTCTTAAATTATTTTGATTACAGTGTCAGTTCCAGGTCAAAATAATCAGTTTTCCTTGAAAGGAAGATGTGTCTGTACCCAAAGTGAACTTCTGTTCTGAAGATGAGCTGGGCTGGCTTGTTTAAGTTTATGTCTTGATATTTCAACTTTCAAATAAGGAAGCAAACATAAAAGAACCCTGGTTACTGGGATGCCTCAGTGAAACATCTGCTTGCCTGGGAACACTTTTACTATAAAAGTTTTGATTTAAAAAGAGAGGGCAATGCTTCAGGTGTTTATTCCGATGCTACTTCACTGCTGCTGACATGAACTAGTTATTAATTTCATGGCATTTCTCTGGCAGAAGCTACCTTAATGAATCTCTCCTGTGCCTTTGGTAAGTCTCCAGCAGCTGTCTGCAGGGAATGGATATGTCTTCCTTGCTCTGGCTAGGAGGTGTGCATGTGTGTGTCTGCTCTTTGGTGTAGGAAACAGACTTTCCTGAGAATGTTGAGACATATTGTCTATAGCTGGTAGCATTCCTATTGATAATTTCCTTTAAAAATTAATTGGATTTTAGCTTGTGTTCCACAACTCTTCAGTAGGCTATTGATAATAGCTCCACTGATAGCACAGAAATCAGTATTTCTTATTCCCATAATAACTATATATAGGAGAGACCAGCAGATGCATACACACAATATTGAGGACAGATAAGAAATACTACTCTGTTCCAACAGGCCAACTTCATATCAGTGAGTAATGGTGTAACAAGAGCTCTGTACCACTCTGGGAAAAGGAGATCCAGGCACTAAAGCTCCCAAGATTTGTGGGGGGTAAACATTACTGATTCTTATTTGCAGTTTAAAGAAATGAGCTTTGTGGAGAGAGAGGCAAAAAATCTGTATATAATTTTTTAGGTGTTTTTTGCAGTGTCACACTAGTGCTTCTGTATTGTACCTGTTTATTAGTTATATTAAAAAGCTTGTCTGCAGCGCCACAAATGTATTCATTGCTTTTGCATGACATTTGAATTGCTAGAGAAATTCAGTTCAGTGCTCGTGTTCCTACAGCATTTCAGAGACTTAGCACATTACTTTGTGGTTTTTTGATTTTTATTTGATTCAGGCTATGGGGTTTTTTTTGTTCCCCCTTGCATTCCTTGTGAAGAGGGCAGGTACAAAATAATTGCTTGTACATTCACCTAAACCAATGATCCAGCCTCACTTTTGACATCTGTTTTAGTGATAGCTGTGCTAGGATTTATATTTTTCCAATTTTAGAAAAAATACTTTTGCAAAGTCAGTCACATATTCCATTTTGGTCCTTTTTATTTTTTTGTATTTTTTTTTTTTTGAGAAAAATAGTTCATGGATATAATTTTTTAGAGTGAGGATTGGGAATATTTTGTTGTTGCTGTTGGATTTTAAATTTTAAATGCTGGTCTTTATCTCCTTCATGTATCTATACATTTATAGTTCTTCCATTTGAAAGGCAAGATTAGAGTTGCCACTAAGTCTCAAGAAATAGCTTTACAAAAAATAGTTTGTAAAAAAATCTTAAATGAAAAGGTAAATAAATTGTTAAAGGGTTAATCCTCTATTTTTTAAATTGTTCTTAAAAGCATGAGTAACAGTTTCCAAATATGATGGCCAATCTCTGTTGTTGTTTGGTAAGTTTTTGAATTATATTATTCAGTTAGATTCTAACCTAAAGAAATCAGGAGTATGTCATTTCTGCGTGAACGTTCTTTCTACTGCTTAATCCTCCTGGCAGTCTTGAGGAGTTCATTAATGTAGCTGTTGAGCTATTGGTAGTTTGCAGAGGAGTAAGAGGAGTGCTACTGCATGGTAGAACAAGTTCTTTTTTCACTTATTCTCCTACCTGTGCAGCTATGTAAGTTAGAAATTAACATTTATTCACAGATGCTGTGTATAGGTTATACCAGCCATCACAAGAAAAAAAAGAAAGTGCTTATATCATCATTATGGTGCACCTTTTCCTTCCTCTGAGATATGTAAATAAATTATAAAACAAGTTTAGATCTCTGATGAGAAGACCAAATACCTCATTTTTTTTAATGAAAAAAATATGCAAAAAAGTTAAAATTTTGTATTGGATGGCTCTGCAGACCTGGAAGCAACTTGATACATGTATGAGTGATACAGATGTAATTGAATAATCATGTCACACTTGGATTCATCAAGCACCTGGCATTCTGCTTAAAGTCAGCTCAATGTTACAAAGATCTAAAGCATCTTTGAATGGACAGAAGAACATAGAGTGTTTCTTTGGTTTTTAACAATTAGTTCTTTAAATAAGTGATTTCTTCGCTGTCATGCACTTTTCTGCCCAGTATAAAAGCTTTGTTTACTTACTGATAAATGCTGTGAATGTATGTCAAGATTAATATGAGTATTTTAAGATTGTTTCAGGTGTGTGTGCTTTTACATTTAAAGCAATGTGGTGTGTAACAATATGTTTCTTAATGTTAGGCTGTACTCAAAATGTAACTCAGCTACACATACATATGCACACACAAAAATTCTTTCATGTATATATAAAACTCAAAATCCTCTTGGGAAAATCGGTGATGATCTCATCCTTTTTTTGGTGGAGGGCTGTTTTCTTCCTAGACCTGTAACATTCAACTCGATATATAAAATTACGTAAATACCTGAGTGTAATATACTCTGTAAGATGTTCACTTTTAGAAGTAAAAGCCCTTATTACTCCGAGTATTTAAAGAAAAAAATCTCTTATAGGGAAACACTTAGATGTATCCCTGAATTTGTAACACATTGTATTCATTCCATATTTATTTTCTGCTGTAGTCCTAGTCAGAAGGCAAATTGAGAAGTGCCTCATCCAGTGAGTTATCTCTTCTGCCAGTTCCTTATCTTTCAGAAGCAAAATCCTTACCAGTGACAGGATCTGTAGAAGCCAGACACAGCTCTTTGTATGTATATCCTTCAGCTTCACCCCAGGCACTTTTGTAGCTAATGGCATCCTAGATAAGCATCTTTCAGTTCTGTGTTTTAATTAATGATCATTTTTGCCATTATCACCTCTCTGTTTCATGATATGTGACAGCTTTGCCGAGTATCATCAGTCAAATGCTCTGTATCTGTTTTCCCTTGTACACACATTGTGACAATATTTAATCCAACCCTTAGTAACTTTCTACCTTGTCTGAATGATTAATTGACCATCACATGTAAGAGTCTGCCTAAACATGAGATTTTTATGAATCCTTTCTGTGGTCAAAACCAGAGTTCTCATCTGGAATAAAAGGTCCCTGTATGTCAGTGATCACAACAGGGCAAAATGCTTAGTATCTATAAAATTGATCAGCTGTTACATCAGAATTACTACTTAAGATCATTTTGTGCTGAGTACTGCAAAATATTTGAGGAAAGTAAAAGCCCCTGCATATTTGCTTTATTCTTGTACCTTATCAATTTTCCACCCACCCATTCAATCTGACTTGCTGATGCTCTCCTGGTCATCATCACTACTCTGAAAACACTTTGAATTCTGAAATAAGGCAGAATACTTACCCGTTTGTCTTCTCTTTCCTCTTCCCTTTCCTCACTAAGTAGAAAAAAAAAAAAAAAAAGAGTAACTTGGTTACTTGTTTCTTTTTGAAAACAACTTGTCAGGTTATTTTTGTGTCTCTGTGTGTTTGACAGAGAAGGAATCTATTATTTATTCTGTGACAAAAACCTTCCTTTTACTGACGTTGGAATTAAGTGCAGAAATAGTGCCAAACTAACAAACAAAAATATAAAGCAAAGATTAAGAAAATGATTTTTCTCCTTTTAAATTAAGTAATTTCTTAAGGAAGTGTATGAATGCTTTAATTGCCAAGCAGAAGTATTTTTTAAAAGGTTTCTGAAATAAAGAATCCACTCGCTGTGTGTTGAAATGCAGATTTTATTGGGGAAAGAATTGTTTGCACTCTGAAGGACTGGACTTGCTTCATTTAGGTAAACAAATGCTTTTATTTACTGATCTGAGTGTTAGATCAAGGCCTGAACACCTGTACTGTCATGTGGAACTTAAAAGTATATATAAAAGGAAGATCATATTTAGCAATGAAATATAATCAAGATATTGCAAACATCTATGAAACATTAGAGTGATGACAAATGGGTTGTTATATGTCTTCAGACTGGGATTAGTATTGCACATAAATGTGCCATATGGTGCCAAGTGAAAAGTAGATGAAGGTAATTTTATGTATAAAAAATTAAATACATATATGTAGACACACTATCCAAAATATCTTTACATATAATGCATGTATTTCATATAAAGTGTGTTTAGAATAATAATATTCTTACAGGAAATCAAAGGATTAAATATGTTTGGGTTTTTTTTTATGTATGTAGAAGGCATTATATGCTAAAATCTGCTGCTAAAATAAGCTCATTAATGAACATTTGCATCAATTATTTAACTACTGCACTCATTTCAGTTTTGAAGATTTAGCCTTGAAAATGAAATGTATTTGGTTTTATGTGCATTACCAATATTTCTAGTGACAAGTAAGCATGAATGTAAATGGATATTGAACATTTTTCAATTGTTGAGGTGAGTAGCTCGAGAGAGGACGCCTTCAACACCGGAGGAGGGGGGGATCAGCGTCCAGGAGCCTCAACTCAGAGCGACAAGAGCCACCGAGGGAGCCTCAAGTCCTCGACAGGACCTGCCCAGGAGCCGGCAGCTCAGCTGACGACAGCGAGCAGCTGACTCACACGGGGCGGAGCCAGGAGCAGCGGCACCAGCCCTGACTGGGTAAAAACCTGCCCCAGGGAGCGCGGGCGACCAGGAGAGCGGTGAACAGAGCGGTTTGCGTGGCAGTTCGAGCGGGATGGTGAGCACTCGGCGTATGATCAGGGCCCGGTCCGGGAGCTCTGCTCTGGCTGCCCCGGCGGTGGCCAGCGTAGGCACCCAGGCAGAGCCGACGAGAGGGGAGGGTGCAGTGCAGAACTCAGGGTGTAGAGAGTGCCTGCGCTGGTCTGGTGAGGGGAGGGTGCGCAATGGGCAGGGCTGCACTCCGTGCTCCCTGGTGGAGGTCCTCCTGCAGCAGCTGGCTGAGCTGTGGGATGCTGTCAATAGGCTGCGAGATGTCAGGGAAGCTGAGAGGAAGCAGGAATGCTTGTTCCACGCCCAAACTGTGCAGGGCCTCAAGCTTCCCCTCCAGCTCATGAAGGAAAGAAGGAGGCCGTTAACATGGGAAGCTGGGAATTAGTGACAAAAAAAAAAAAACAACAAAAAAAAAAAAAAGAAGGAAAAGGACAACCAAAAGCAAGGGGCTTCCCTCTAAATCCCCTGTCCCCACGCAGAACTGCTTTGCTGTCCTGCAGGGGGCTAATGAGGAAGCCCACTCGA